GCTTTTGCGCGTCCGCCCACATGTACAGGAACGCATCCGTTGCATCAAACTGCGTCGGAAGGCCCCACTCTCCAAACCACAGCGGTGTGTCGCCTTGTACGGCATCCGCCTGCACTCTGTCCAGGTCTAGCACACTTTCAGTCATGTTGGACTGCACAGATATGGGACGACAAGGACATACTGCAGATGCTCTCCATGTAGGCAGTCGGATTCGCGTCAGCGACGCCCTGTTCGGCGGAGATCAGTATATGGCGCATATGGAATGAGATGAGCCTGAACGTACACCGAAGCTGTAGTAGAGGTGATTGTCATAGCCCTGCGGCCCAATAGCAGCATCTGCAGGGTTCGGTGGGTCGTCGTACTGCCAGTCGACGTCCATGAATCTACCACCCAATCACATCAATCAGCACTCATCGCTCTTCGTCACAACCCAACCCACTCACGTTGTCCACAGCGTGCTGCGCGATGCTATGCCTGATGCCAGGCTCGTGTCCAGGATGGCCGGGATGGACAGCTGCATCGCGAGCTCGAGCAGGATCGGTGTCGCAGCGGCGAGCGCCTCGGTGACGTTCGTGTTGAAGATCGTCGTCGTGCTGGCGACCTGGCCGAGCGCTGCGGTGAAGTTGGTCGTTGTGATTGACGTGTCAAGCGTCAGTCCTGGATCGGGGATGCCCAATGTGAGTTCGACCGCGCGCACTGTGTCCACGAAGTTCTTCTGGACTGTATGAGGTTGTGGTCAGCGGGCGATGGGTGGGCAGGAGGAAGAAAAGAGGAGACGGGCGAATACGCACAATAGCCGTACCCGGGAGTCTCGTCTGCGTCCATGATGGGCTCGTTGACCGCCTCGATGGCGAAGACTGTGTTGAAGTTCGGATCGAGATGTGCAAGGGTCGTCATGACCGCCGTCCAAATTAGCGCACGCTCGTAGTTGTAGGCAGTCTGAGGGAAGAAACATGTCAGATTCCGCCTCTTCCACTTTAATTAACCGGACTCGCGTAGAACTGGACATTGTCCGTACAGCTAGATCAAACGCCTTGAGGGCACGTCTCAGATACGTCAAGACTGTATGGACGTACTTTCCGGTAAATGACTGGTCACTGGTCTGTACTCCGGGCAACGCGTGGTGATCGAGGATGACCTGAATTCCAGCGTCGCTGAGCATCTTGAGCCCTGATTGCTGAGAATGATAACGAGATTATTGATCATCATGAACGCCCTTGTAGGCAGCATGTGAAATGAGTACGTACGAGGTATACGATACCTCCCTCCGCGTAAAATTCGGTCTCCCTGTTAACGATCTGCTCCACGATCCAGAAACCGAGCTATATGCGCTCCATCGTCAGATGTCTGGTATATCAGGAGCAGAAAAGAGCTCACAGGTATCCGGACAGTATTGATACC